ACATAGGAATCCAGGCTCAGGCATGGAGGTGGGGCCTCGTCCCTGCCCAGGCTGGGCCTGTTCTGAGGGCTGATCCTCAAAACCTGTGGCCTTTGGGCCTGAGGGGTCTCCAAGCCCAGACAGAGGAGTTATGGTAGAGTGAATTTTTGCCTTTGCCACTTACTAGCACCATGAACTTATGTTAAATCACTTTGTTTTCTGAGCCTCAGTTTCTTCAACTGAAAAATGGGCATCTTGCCAGTACCTACCTATTGCCTCGAGTACTAAATTGGCTAACCCTTGCCAACCCCTCGGAACTGTGCCTGGCACAGAGTTCACACTGGGTGAAGATTCTTCACCCTTAGCACCACTGACATTTGGGGCCAGAGAATTTGTCGTTGCATGACGGTTAGTGGCATTTCTGGCCTGTATAGAGGCAGTAAAAAGTGTCTCTAGACCTTGCCAACTGTCCTCTGGGAGGAAAGGGGCACTGTCATCCTTGGTTGAGAGCTGCTGGGCTAGATAAATAGCAGCTGTTACACTGGCATTTTTATCCAGACAAATTCGTGGAGCCTTTCCCACCCTCCAAGTGAGGGGAGTGCTCGTTATCAACCTGTTTTACAAATGTGGAAACGGGCCCAGAGAGGTGAAGCCACTTGCCCAAAGACACACAGCTCATAAGTGGCAGAGCTTGGTGGGACCCGCACAGCCTGGCCTTGGAGTCCTGCCCCCACCCCCATTTCACCATTCACATCCCCATCTCTTTTCCTTTTGTAAAGATTTTATTTATTTATTTTTAGAGAAGGGAAGGGAGGGAGAAAGGGAAGGAGAGAAACATCGAAGTGTGAGAGATATATCCATCAGTTGCCTCTCCCACGCCCCTAACTGGGGACCTGGCTCACAACCTATGCACTTGCCCTGACTGGGAATCGAACTGGCGACCTTCTGGTTCACAGGACGGCGCTCACTGAGCTGCACCAACCAGGGCTCACACCCCCATCTCTTTATGGTCACGATCAGTGGGTCTCTCTCTGCCTTGGCTTTGGAAATTAATGTGGTGCCATAACATGGGCCAGCCTTTGTTGTCCCTCTCCCAGGGCAGGTGATGGTGACCTGACGGAGTGAGCCCCGCCCCCCACCCCGGGACCACAAGCCCAGCTGCCCCTCAGCTGCTCTAGCAGAGAGAGGACTGCTTACAGGGGTGGGGGGAGGGGCCAGGATCCTCTACCAACCTGTCCACCCCAAAGCCAACCTCCACATCTGCCGGCGAGAGCCCCAGCCCCTCCCGTGTGTGGGGTAACAGCTAACAGAGTGACGGGAATTGAATTTTCTGAACTTGCAGCGCGTTGCGGGCACTGGCTGGGCCGAGGCTGATGCTCCAGGGCTCTGGTAAAGCCCCAGCTGATGTTGAAACGCTGAAATCCTCCTTGACCAGCTGGCAAACAGCTGCTGCTCTGAGTCACTGGAGGTCCCCCGAGCTCTCTGCTGTCCAGCGATTCTGGGGCGTGCCCGGCATGGGGAGGGGGGCCAGTGGGACCCTGTTGCACAAGCCCTTTCTGAGTGGTGGGTGACAGGCAGATATTCAAACAGGTCTTTCCTCTCAGTAAAAAGCTGCCGCCTGAGCCGCTCAGGTACCCTGGTGCCGCCAGGTGCCGCCAGGGGGCTGGGGGCCTTGTGGGTGGTGCCCCCTAACTTCTTGGTGCCCCCCTGCTCCGCCTCACAGGAGCTGCTGATGGCTCACGACTTCACCAAGTTCCACTCGCTGAAGCCGAAGCTTCTGGAGGCTCTGGACGAGATGCTGACGCACGACATCGCCAAGCTGATGCCCCTGCTGCGGCAGGAGGAGCTGGAGAGCACCGAGGTGGGCGTGCAGGGTGGCGCGTTCGATGGCACCCACATGGGTCCCTTTGTGGAGCGGGGGCCCGACGAGGCCCTGGAGGACGGCGAGGAGGGCTCGGACGACGAGACCGAGTGGGTGGTGACCAAGGACAAGTCCAAGTACGATGAGATCTTCTACAACCTGGCGCCGGCCGATGGCAAGCTGAGCGGCACCAAGGCCAAGACCTGGATGGTGGGCACCAAGCTCCCCAACTCGGTGCTGGGGCGCATCTGGAAGCTGAGCGACGTGGACCGCGACGGCATGCTGGACGACGAGGAGTTCGCCCTGGCCAGCCACCTCATCGAGGCCAAGCTCGAGGGCCACGGGCTGCCCGCCAACCTGCCCCGCCGCCTCGTGCCGCCCTCCAAGCGGCGCCACAAGGGCTCCGCGGAGTGAGCCGGCGCTGCCCCGCCCCCTCGCCCGCTGTGGCTCCCCAGCTTCGGTCAGCTGCACGCGCATCCCTGGCCCACGTGCACCCTGCCTGCCCTCCTTCCCCGCTGCTGTGAGGACGGGGGTCTCTCTACCCCCAGCGCCAGACAGAGGGGACCAGGGGAGGGGCAAGACTTCTCTGCTCACCCTTCACACCTCCACCCACCCATCCATTTAGGCACATCACACTGACACTAACACACACACACACACACACACACACACACACGGAGGCATCCATCCATTTACCAACCATTCAAGTATTTATTGAGCACCTACTACATTCAGTGCGGGGGCGGGGGGGCTTGTTCTAGGCATTGGGGATCCAGAGGAGAGGAGAGCAGACATACCGTCTGCCCTCAAGGAGCTGATGTTCTCAGGAGACAGCAGTTACCTGTCACTCAAACACACGCGCGCAAACACACACACACACACCAGCCCTGACTAGTCCCATCCTGGATTCTGGGTAGGACCCCTCGCCTCTCCTCGTACATGAGCAGCCACTCAGTTGAAATGACTAACAGGCCCCCTGCTCTACGTCCTCTTGCCCACCCAGGCAAGCTCCCCCCCATCATATCCTCAGGCCTTGGGGCCACTGGGAGCTCCAAGGGGAGACACAACCTCCCACTTCCTCAGATGGACCCCTCTTAGCCCTTCCCTCCAGCTCCGGCCACAGTCTACTTTAACAAGGATCTTTAGGGGATGGAAAAGCCCCTCCTATTTCTGCTCCTACCGGACTGTGCCCACTTGGAGATATTTCTCTCCTCCGTCTGTCTGCCTGGGGCTGAAAGCCGGGCCTGGCCCTCATCTTGCCCACAGCTGGCAGTCATAATTGGAGACTGCTGGGGCCCAGCCTCGGGGTCCGTCAGTCCATATTGAGGTATAAAAGACCCCAGGGCTTTATTTTAGGCCCCTTTCAGGGATGTCATGGGGGTACAGGCTCTTGGTGCTACAGCCCCCTCCTCCTCTTTCCTATAGGGACCTTGTACCCCCTTTCCTGCCATCACCCCACATTAGTGCTTGATCTTGGTGGGAACCCCATGGAAAAAACGGGGAAGAGGAAAATAGGGCGCTGGATGGGATTCCCACGCTCAGCCCCCCCCCCCCCGTCTGGGAGGGGCCTGTGAACGTAACCCCACAGAACGAATAAAGCCAAGGCTTCTGTCCACGTGGGAGTCAGGCTGTCTTGGGTCGGGCTGTGGGGGGATCGCTCTGCTCTCGACCCCCAGGGCAGAGAGCCCCGGGTAGGGCTTGAGGGGGGCTCCCTTCCAAGTTTTCTGGGCTGGGGTGGAGGCCGTGACTCAGTGCTGCGGAGCCTATTGACTCAGCCTGGGCTGGGGGCCAGAACGACATATTTTCCGAAGAAAAGTTACACTGGGGCCCTCCCTCCGGGACAACCCTCCCTCCCACCGCCTGCCGTGGGGCCTGGGAACCGAGCCCTGGGGCGTGGGGTTGTGTGTGTGTGTGCGCGAGCTTGGGCACAACCTGCCCCCGCCCTGTCCGCCAGCGCCCACCCATCAGCCGGGATCCACAACTCCTGACACGTCACTCCTGGACCCACGGGCTCCAGGCGGGGAGGACGGGGTGCCGCCCGCAGGACCACCACGTGTGCGCGCGCGCTCCCGCCCAGAGGATTCGCTATGCAGCCACACACACCCAGGACCACACCCACGGCGCCCCGGGACGCTGTGGCCCGGCGCTTTACCCGCCCACGCGCGCCGGCTTTCGCGGCTCCCGGCGCCCTCTGGCGGGCACTCGGGAGCCGGGCGGGCGGCGGAATCCAGCGCCCAAGGTGGTGGGCGCTCGGAGCCACAAACCAGGACCTGCCGCCTTCCTAACGCTCTGCGCCAGAACTCCGCTGAGTTGGGCTGTACGACTCCCCGCTCCCTCCCTCTCGGTGCCTTTTTCCTTTTTGAGTCTGGAGGAGCCTTTATGAGGCCCTGGATCCCTTGGATGGTTGCCCGGGCCCGAGGACCTCTGAGCTTCCTTCCTTATTTGTAAACAGTTAAGATTTAGTTGATTCTGGGATGAAGTTCAGGGGGCGAGACGGTGACAAGAGCTAACATTTAGATGCCAGGCACAGTCCTAAGCGTTTTGTATAAATGTATATTGTCTTGTTTAATCTTCGGAATAATCTGAGGCAGAGGTACTATTATCATCCCCATTTTACAGAGGAGGAAACTGAGGTAGAACTAAGAAGTTGGCCCAAGATTAAGGATTTTGAGTGTGTGCTTCTAGGATTCTAATAGTGTCTGTTTCTAACATTCCTCCCATATAAACTTCTCTGCTTCCAACCTCGACATTCCGAACGCTCTTTGATTCCCAGGATTCTAGGATTGATATATAGCCCGGCTAAACGTTCTCAGACTGCGACCTATCTTGTTCCGAATAGGCCACTGATCGCTCCGATTTTTCTTTTCTAAGAAAACTAGATTAAAAAATAATGCTCAGACTTAGAAATATCCTGGGCGGCCGGGAAAGATGTTTGGCTAGGGTGAGATGTAGGAACCTAACACGCACGGCGGACAAGAGTCTGCAGAGGAGGGAGAAGCCGTGCACCCTTCCTCAAGATGGCAGCCTCCCTGCGCCTTTGCTGCTCCGGCCACTTTACCAAGATGGCGGCCACCGATGTGGGTCTGGGGCGTGAACGGGACATCTGCGCGCGCGCGCGTACACGCCCCAAAACGGATATCCGCTGCCGGCGCCTGGCTTCTTCCTTTAACAAGATGGCGGCAGGAAGCAGTGGCGGTAGCGGTCAGCTTCGCTCGAAAAGCGAGGCCGATTCCGGTTTCTTGGGGCTGAGGCCCACTTCGGTGGACCCAGCGTTAAGGCGGAGGCGGCGAGGCCCCAGAAATAGGAAGCGAGGCTGGCGACGGCTCGCCCAGGAGCCGCTGGGGCTTGAAGTTGATCAGTTCCTAGAGGATGTGCGGCTGCAGGAACGCACGAGTGGGTGCGTGGGGCGGGACTTCTGGCAGCTGGGCCGCGTTCTGTGTGGTGCAGCGTGAGGGGGCTTCCGGGGTGCTGGGATCACCTGTCCCGGCTGTCCCCGGGGAAGCCGAGAGCAAGGGCTGGGGATCCCGGGTCGGTGGCTGGGGGACTTGGTAGTGTTACCAGATAGAGGACTCCTAGTTACACTAGAAATCAGGTAAGCAAGTGCTGTAATTTCTTAGCGTTTGTATGTCCCGTGCAGCCCCTCAGCATAGTGAGTTTTAAGTTCTGTAAAATGACGGGAGAAATCTTAGCCTGAAGGGGCCCCGTGCCAGCCAGAGGATGCTTGACTAAGCATAAGCGGAGAGCTGGGCCCTGTCAGCGAAGTTAAACCTACGCCTTTCGCAGTGTCTTGCTGCCTCCTCAACGTCTGTGACTGATGTTCTGTATTTCCGTCTCCCAGTGGCTTGGTGTCAGAGGCCCCGGATGAGAAACTCTTCTTCGTGGACACCGGCTCCAAGGAGAGAGGTAAGGAAGGGGTTTGTGTGTTGCAAGGCAGTGACTGGTTGTTGTCTAGCCCACCGCAGCCTCTGAGAGTATCTGAGCTGATGACGTGGCTTGATGACAAACACCTTCCAAAAAGGGGCTTCACTATGAACAAGAGGACCTAGAATGAACAGGAAGCAGGCTAGAGACTGACTTAAAGAAGTCCGATTCTCCTTTTGTCGTGTCTGAGATCTCAGTGCGCAGAAGAGCCGGCAGGGGTCTGTTTGCCTCGATGAGTAGATGAGACATAGAACAGTGGGGCTTGCTCATTTGCTCAAACGCAAGTCAAGGACACTCTGTAACGAGTCAGATCAGTTTTAGTTGACATGTGCTTTACTAAGAAATAGAGGATCCACTTTAATGAGTGGGCGAGAAACCTGCCTTAACCTGCTAGGCATACTTTGCCAGAATGCAGGGTCGGGAAGTGCTGGAACAAGGGGAGAAGTGAGTTAGGGGTTGTTAGGCTGCACCTCCCGTTCCTGGAAACGCTGACAGGCAGTCTGCTTCTTTGGGGCATGGACAACGAGCTACAGGGGCTGCTTCCTCGGGAAAGCTGATGGTTTTAATGGGCAAACGGCAAGCCGCTTTAACAGTGGGACCCCTGTAGTGGCCATGTTCGAGGTCAGTCAAGGGGCCTGCCCTGACCAGAGTGAGGGCCTGCTCTCAGGAAAGGAGAGCAGGTGAGAAAGGGCTGGTGAGGAGGGCAGCTTTGACTGAAGCGCATGCATCTGGGCTGCGGATGGAAAGGGTAGGTCAGGGCCCACCGAATGAACTCGGGAGGAGGTAGTGAGCGCTACTTTGGTGAGTAGGGAGTTTCCTTGGGGCACAGAGGAGGGGCAGTTTACAGATTTGGCTTTAAGTTAGAAAGAAGGTGGAGTACTTGAACAACAATAAAGTAGAAAGGAAAAAAGGCAGAAAGACAATAGTGATCGTGTGCTTTCACAGGGGCTCCCTGTGCTCTGTGCGTCCCTGTGCGTCGGGCGGTAACGTTCGGGCTTCGGAAGCACAGGGAGCACAGTCGTTTTCACCAGGTCCCACGGTAAAGGGGAGGCTACGGATTTTGTCCCAGTATGTTTTCTTCTAGAGGTCTTGCTTTTTACTGTTAGGTTTTATCTTTATTTTGTTACATTTTTTTTTTTTTACGGATTCTAAAGATGGTATAGGGAGGGAGAAAGAGAGGGAGAGAAGCGATCGATGTGAGAGGGAAACATCGATTGGTTGCCTCTCAGACACACCCCAAGGGGTACCAAACCTGCAACCCAGGCATGTGGCACGGCTAGGAGTCAGACCCACAACCTTTTGGTTTGCAGGACGATGCCCAACCCGCTGAGCCACACCAGCCAGGGTTACTATCAGATTTTAGAAAAGGCAGAAAACCCTCCTGTGCTGATAAACGGTCACACTGGGTCCAGCTTCCTGGGCCTCAGTGTCACCTGGCCACCACCTGCTCTCCTCCTCGTTGGGATTACCAGTTCTGCAGCCATTTCCCTGCTGTGCCGGGAAGCCTCCCATGTGTAGGGCTGTGGTCTGACTCCTGCTGTGTCCAGTTGGCCCCGGAAGGGGGTGTGGTGGGGGGACAGAGTTTGGGCACCTTGAACCGTGCCCTTGGGTCCTCCTTCCTCAGGTGGCGGCTTGGAGTCAGCCTGGCGCCCCCATGGAACCAGGGTGGGGTGTGTGGGGAGCCAGTCATGGGACTTGAGGAGGTCCGACGCCTTGACTCCTCTCCTCTCTCCCACCCCCAGAGCTGAACAAAAAGAGAACCAGAGACCAGAAGAGGCCACTGCTTCTGAAGAAACCCCTCCGGGTCGACCTCGTTTTGGAGAACACGTCCAAGGTGCCAGCCCCCAAAGAGTGAGTGTCCCACTGCCCTTGGGCCCTCCTTTCCCGCTGGAGCTGGGCCTCCTGCCTTCTCTGCGGCAGCCCCACTCCCTGGCCTGAAAGGAATTGCTGGGGAGGGAGAGGGAGAGAGGTGAGCATCACTCGGAGGGCAGCAACGGGGTCAGACTCAGGCTTGGGAGCACGGATCCGAGGGATCGAGGCAGGAGCCGGGTGCTGTGGCTGAAGCAGGTGGGGGTGCGGCCTGGATCTGCCCAAGGGCCGTGGGGCTGGGAGAGGAGGGGCCGGTTGGAGCCACTGTCAGGAGGAGGGTCAGGCAGTCCCTCCTCTGAAGGGGCTGATGTGGACGGTGGGTGGGGCTGCCCCCCGCCCCGAGGTGGGAGATCGGTATTGTTTGGTGCCTGGGAGACATCCAGAGCAAGGGCCCCAGGGGTCATTGTTGTGTGCAGAGAGGTCTGGACTGGAGACAGACCTGGGGACACGCTCTTGAAAATGGCTGGACAGAGTGGGAGTGGGCAGAGCTAGGAGGAAGCTTGCCTTTTGAGGGGGGAGCTGCCCGGGGAGGGGTGGGGGGCCCAGCTGGAGGAGGCCTTTGCTGCTCCCACCTCACTCTGTGGCTTCTCCCGCCCTAGCATCCTCGCCCACCAGGCCCCCAATGCCAAGAAGCTCAAGCGCAAGGAGCAGCTATGGGAGAGGCTGGTGAAGCAGGGCGAGCTGCCCCGAGACGTGCGCAGGGCGCAGGCGCGGCTCCTCAACCCTCCCGTGGCCAGAGCCAAGCCCAGGCCGCAGGGCGCCGTGGAGCAGCCCTTCTACGATCTCTGGGCCAAGGATAGTGAGTGCTCTGCCTTCACCTGGGGGTGGGGACATTGTGTCTGAGGGCGTGATCTGTGGGTGTCGTCTCCACCACCGCAGCAGGGTCGGGCACCTCGAAGTGGCTCTTTGCCCATTCGTGCTTCCCTTTCCCAAGTGCGCTTTCCTGGGGGCCAGCTCCTGCCCCTCAGCCGCGGTCTCTCCTGCCTTCCGGAGCCTGACCACTGCTTTTGTTGCCTTGGCTTTTGAGGCCGCTCAGGGTCTGAGAATCAGTTTCTCCCTGGCCCGGCTGCAGTGCCGTCTTTGTGCGAAGGGGCAGGGTCGCAGGGAGCCCCTTGAGGCCCCAGGGTTCCCCACATGGCAAAGCCCCTAGCAGCCACCCTCCTGCTGCCTCCACAGACCCTCTGGAGCGGCCACTGGCTGGCCAGGACACGTTTTTCCTGGAGCAGACCAAGAAGAAGGGCGTGAAGGTGAGACCACGTTGTGGGGCGGGGGTGTCCTGGGTGATTGGGCTCAGGGGAGGGGCTGGGAGCAGTTGTGCCTGCCTGGCGTTGGGGCCCTGGAGCCTGGGTCTCAGAGCCCGTGCATCCTGTGACATGTGTGGCGAGTTGGGGCCCCGGAGGGAGGGCGAGGGAAGGCCAGGGAAGCCCTTGCCGCAGAGGGAACTTGGGCCAGTGGGGAGGAGGCTGAGGGGGCGCAGCTCCGGTCTCCGGGTTTATTCCAGGGGCGGTTTGCGTAGGGGAGCAGTAGGTACCCATCGGCGGCTGTTTTGAGGAGGTGGGGTTGTGGGGGAAGGGGGGCGAGGGCCGGGGCATCCAGGGTGAACCTGTTTCTGCTCAACCCTGGTGGAGGCCCGCCGGGCATGGACAAGGGCAGTCGGTGAGTGGAGGGGCTGCCGAGGGTGCTGCTCAGCCCTGAGGGTGCCGCTCAGCCCTCAGGACCCTGGCCCTTCCACCAGGGTCTTGTGGAAGGTGGCGGGTCCCCGGCCAGCTCAGATTCTGTGTTTCTCATGAGGCCCCCCGGGGGTGGAGGGAGGCCCCTGGACGGGGGGAGGCCCTGCCTGCCCTGATAGGCTCTCTGGCGGCAGTGACTGAAGCCAGTTGTGCTGGACCCAGTGCTCACACCCGCCTCCCCCACCCTGTCGGCGGGACTGCAGGGATTTGTCTCAGCGAAGATGGGCAGGGCCCCTGCTTGCAGGGGGCTTGTGGGTCCTGGGGAGTGCCACTCCCGGCCACCGGCCGTCCCTGGTTCCCCCGCCTAGCTGGGAGGCCGTGGGCTGGGCAGAGTCTCGGCTGCTCCCGGGCTGGAGTCCCAGCTCTGGGGTCCATGAGAACAAGAGTCCTGGGCCCCCGTCCTCAGTCGGCTTTGGTTTTTGTCCTCCAGCGGCCACCGCGTCTCTACACTAAGCCGTCCCGGGTGCCTGCCGTGGAGGTGACACCTGCCGGAGCCTCCTACAACCCAACCTTCGAGGACCACCAGGTACACAGCACTCCCCAAAGTCAATGCCTAGCCGCGGGGCTGGCATTTCACTGCCTGGCATTTCCCTGTGCTCAGTGGGAGCCGAGGGCCCAGCAGTGACCGAGGTAGTCCCGGGCCTGCCCTCCTGGGGCTCACAGTCCAGTGGGGGTGACAGCTGTTCCCAGTGACAGCCCAGAGTGGGCAGGGCTGGGGAACCCTGAGGGTTGTCCAATCTAGCCTCTGAGATCAGGAGGGCTTCCTGGAGGAGGGGGCAGCCACTGAGCCTGAGGGGGAGCTGGCTGTGGGGAAAGGGAATGGGAACTTCAGGCAGGGGGCCAGCTCTCGCAGAGGCCCAGAGGTGAGTGAGTCCCTGGTGCCTCTCGGGAAGTTCACGGGACGGCCGTTCCGGAGGCCGCAGCGAAGTGTGAGCACACAGACTGCGCAGCCAGGGCAGGCCAGCAGTGAGCGTCCCTGTGTTCGCTTCACAGATGGTTGAGGAGCAGGGGTGCCGTGAATGGTGGGGGCATACCCTGCCAGTGGGGAGCGTGTCCCAGGGAGAAACCCGGGTCACGGAGTAGCTGCGGGGCACGCGTGAACGCCGTTCTGTGTCGTCCAGATTAGCGGCGCTCTCGGCCGACCGGAGTGAAGCTGGGTGTCCTCACCCGATATTAACGTGTGCACAGAGGCAGATGCTGGCACCCGGCAGTGGGAGCGTGGGCGTGGCCACATGAGAGGGCCGCGTGGCTGCCATCAGACACACTGACATGCACAGTGTAGGTGCTGGGAAGACGGAGCAGACAGATGGCGTGTTTAAAGTCACGTGACTGCTTTGCAGAGGTGTGATTCCTCGGCCACGTGATCTGCTCACTTACAGGCATGGCTCAGTGATTTCCAGTGTGTTCACTGAGCCGAGTAGCCATCGCCACAATTCTAGAACATTCTTACCACCCCAGAGAGAAACCTGAGGCCCATGGGCCACCCCCAGTCCTGTCTCCGGCAGCCACCATGCTCCTCCTGCCTGTGGACTCGCCGTTTCTGAGCATTATGTGTAGATGAACTGCCCTTGAAGGGAGCCAGCAGAGCAGCGGGGAGGTTAAGCGTTAGGGAGCCCCCTTTGGCCACTGTGGGGGGCCACGTCTGGAGCCCCAGGAGAAGTCCCTGGGGGCTCAGTTTGAACCCCAGCCCTGTTTCTCAGACCCTGCTCTGGGAAGCCCATGAAGTCGAGCTGCAGCGGCAGAGGGAAGCAGAGAAGCTGGAGCGGCAGCTGGCCCTGCCCCCTGCCGAGCAGGTGGCCACCCAGGTGAGCCCACGCCTGCCCGCCCTCCCCTCCTTCCCCAGCTTCCACCCTCCCTGACACCCTCCCTGTTGCCCAGGAGTCGACGTTCAAGGAGATGTGCCAGGGGCTGCTGGAGGAGTCCGACGGGGAGGGGGAGCCGGGTGAGGGCCAAGACGGGGGCCCTGAGGCGGCCGGAGATGACACAGATGGAGATGCCCAGGCCTCAGCCACGCCTGCTCTCCTGACCGCTGTGGAGAAGAAGACGGAGCAGCAGCGGCGGCGGGAAAAGGCCGCCCGGATGCTGGTGAGCAGCGCGGGCTTGGGTCTGCGTCCCCTGGTCCCGCAGCCTGGTTCCTCCTGCCTTCAGCCCACTCTCTGTCCTGTCCTCTCTGTCCTGCCCGCAGTCTGCCTTCCCGGTCCCCGCAGCTGCTCTGCCAGCCGCCCCGGTCTCCCAGCGGGGAAATGGCAGGGGCAGGCTGGGTCCCACTGCTCATGGAGGGTCAGGGGTGGCTGGGATTCATGGGCCACTGACAAACAGATCGAGGAGGACGGTGGTTCTGGGAGACCACTGCTGTGGAGAAACTGGAGCGCTGGCCTGGTGTGACCTGGGCTCGGTGGCTGGGAAGGCTGTCTTGTGGGGCGGGGGGGAGCCGGGGCAGACGCCCCTCGGGCAGCTGGTGCTGGGCTGGGGGCCCTGACTCCAGCTGTCCCCACAGCGAGCCCAGCAGGCCTCGGTGCGGGCCGCCCGGCTGCGGCACCAGGAGCTCTTCAGGCTGCGCGGGATCAAGGCCCAGGTGGCGCAGCGGCTGGCGGAGCTGGCGCGGCGGCGGGAGCAACGGCGGGCAAAGCGGCTGGCAGAGGCCGACAAGCCCCGCAGGCTGGGGCGGCTCAAGTGAGGCCCGGTCTGGAGGCCCCCGGGGAGGCCGGGAGGGTCCTGGTGCCTTCCTGCTGGTGCTCAGCCTGTGCCCTGGAAGGCCGTGCCTTTCCCCAAAGCCTTTCCCCATGGTCTCCACGGCCCCCTGCCTAGCCCACTCATCCCCAGGTCGGGGTTTGCACTCTGTGCTTGGTCCAGCCCTGAACGCCCTGTCCCTGTCCCCAGGTACCAGGCCCCCGACATCGACGTGCAGCTCAGCTCCGAGTTGTCCGACTCGCTGCGGACCCTGAAGGTACTTGCCCGTCGGGTTGGGGAGGTGCTGTGGGGGGGGCCCATGCCCAGTGATGACACCCATCCTTGCTCCCCGTGCCCCCAGGGGCTGTGGGCGACACCACGGCTGCCCCGGGCTGGGCTGGTTGGGCCGAGGCCTGGGGGCTGAGGGCACAGGGCCCTGAGACTGCGGATCCCTGGGGTGAGGGGTCGGGTGCACGTTGGTTCGGACCTGTGACCCTCAGAGGGTCCTTCCCCCATCACAGTCCTTGTCTCCTGCCCTCGCCCTCTCCTGTCCCAGAGGGGTCAGCCTAAAGCGCAGAGTGGACCTTGTCCCTCCCCTGCTCAGAACCTTCCATGGCTCCCAGTTCCCCGGGAGGAAGCCCAGGTCCTCACCTGGCCACAGGCCCCGAGTGGGCTGGCCTGTGGGGGGGCCGACCGTGCCCCCTTCTCCCACCCCTGGCCGTTGCCTCCCTGCTTCCTCGGCCTGCACACCCTTTTCCACTGCTCCGTCCTCCTTCCTGTGGTTCCTCCCAGCCCGGCTCAGAGGCAGCCACGGTTGGCACCTGTCACCCCATGAGTTCAGGGCCGGCTGAGCCCCTGCTGCCTGCGGCGAGCTGGGCGCCTCTGCTGACGGGGAGACTGGGCCGGAGCCTGCACTGGAGCCCTGGGGGAGAGGTCGGTGGAGAGGTCGCCGGCCCTCGGGTTCCTTCCAGGCGCCCTCTGAGGCCTCCTCCTCTGTGTCCTGCAGCCTGAGGGCAACATCCTCCGAGACCGGTTCAAGAGCTTCCAGAAGAGGAACATGATTGAGCCGCGGGAGAGAGCCAAGTGAGGGCCGGGCGCCGTGGGGGAGGTGTCACAGCCGCCGGCGCTGTCCTGGCTCTTCGTCACCGACTTTTTTTTCCTCTTCCAGGTTCAAGCGCAAGTACAAAGTGAAGCTTGTGGAGAAGCGGGCGTTCCGGGAGATCCAGTGAGTGATGGGTGGCGTCCACTGGGTCTCGTCCCGTCTCAGACCCAGCCCCCGTGGCCAGTGGCTGAGGGTCAGCCCACCAGATACACCAGAACCCAAGCTGGGGCAGGAGGGTCCCCAGGGGAAAGTGAAAGGGTCCAAACCAGAGGAGGGTGTCGAGTGGGCGAGAGCGTGGGGACCGCACTCCGTTTGTCCCCCCTCAGCCTCCCCTTCCGTCCCCAGGTTGTAGCTGACGCCGGATGCCAGAGCCCTCACCTTTCAATAAAGCACCTTCTGACCACCACCTGGGGCCTCCTGTGTTACTTGTCCCCTGTTGGGGGCAGTGTCTCTCTGTCCCCTGCCAGCACCGGGCCTGGTGGGGACCCAGGGCACGGCAGAGGGCCCCACCACCAGGGCCAGGTGGGCAGTGCTGTCCCCCAGAGAGAGAGAGAGAGGTCCCGGAGGAGCCGGGCAGGCGGGCTGGCTAGGTGTGCAGCGGAGGCGAGGGGAGGGGAGGGCGGGTCCACACCTGGATTTCTGCCTGAGCAGGGAGCCCTGCTCCCGCCCCAGGGGATGGAGGTGGGTCTGGGGGACAGCCCTGTCCCGTGGGGGGGGTGGGTGGCAACAGTCAGTGCCTTCTGTGCTGGACACACTCCCCGAGCCCTCACGACCCTCCCCGCTAAGGAGGGCTCACTGACCCCATTGTGAAAGTGAGGGAACAGAAGCCCTTCGAAGGGTGTAATTCCACCCCATACCTGTTTACTGTTTTTCAAAAACAGTTCTACAAGTAATAAAGGACTGTGTTCCGGGTGTGTGTCATGGGTATGGTGCGGAAAGGAACCAAAAACCACGCTGTCATCTTTGACCTCTGCCCTCCACTCATACCCTCTGCAGAGGTGGCTGTCACTGCAGTTTGGGGTGACGGTGCTGTTATGTCCCTATTTTATTTTTTTAAAGATTTTATTTTTAGAGGGGAGATAGACATTGATGTGTGAGAGAGAAACATCCCTTGGTTGCTTGTTGTGCATAACCTGGCTGGGACCGAGCCCACAGCCCAGACATGTGCCTTGACCGGGAATTGAACCTGTGACCCTTTGGTTCTCAGGCTGGCACTCAGTCCACTGAGCCACACCAGCCAGGGCTCTAAATTGCTTTTTAGTACATCTTAGAGAACTTCAGGTGTCTGTACAAGGTGCTTCCTCATTCCTTTTCACACCTGCGTGGACTCCTGCCATAGGAGCGTGTCATGGTCTCGCCCCTGTAGGCACTAGTGACGCTGGAAGGAACAGCTGTACACGCACCATCTCACGTGTGTCTGGGACAAGAGCCTGGAAGTGAGCCTCTGGGCTAATGGGGGGCCACCACTGAGGGGTCACTGGACAGAGCCAGTGCGCGGCCACGCTGGGGCTTGCCCTCCAGCTGCACGGGAGTGCACTGTTCCCTCGGGGCTCCCCTGCCGCGTGGCCCGGCCCCATGCATGGGCTCAGTTCCAGCGAGGCTCAGTTCCAGCAATAAAATCTTTGTTGTAGGGTCCCCGGCAGTTTCCTCCTCTGTGGGCTTGGACCTTTCGACCATTTTCCTCCTGGGCCATTTGTCGTTTTCTTGTTCATTTGTAGCTGCTCTTTATTAGCCATGGACCTGGAGTCTGTCGTGCGCGCTACAAGCATTTCTCCCGGGCTGTGCCTTGGGGCTTTGGGGAGGGTATCTTTTTGTCAGAAGGGCTGAGCGTTTCCAGTTTTCTGTCATCTTTTCCCATTTTTTATTGAGGCCACTTGGAAAGGTTTCTCCAGGACAAGATATTTATAGAAATAGATCAGGTAATTTATAAGAAAATCAATGAGAGGAGAGTAATGTCAGAGCCTCCCCCGTGTCCTGTGAAGAAATGTCACGACTTGAAGGAGCCGCAGCCTTGGCCTCTGACCCAGTGAGCCCACCCTGGGGGGTGAGGCTGACGGAACCCGCTGGAGGAGAGGAGGAAACTTCACATCCACAGGTGGCCATCAGCACATCCACCAGATGAATGGGTGGGCTGAGGTGGGCACAGCTGCTTGGGCAGGTTCTGCAGCCTGGATGTGAAGCCAAGTCCACAGGAAACACATTTTATTGCCTGGGGACATTGTCTTCCCCTGTGTGCCCAAAAGAGTGTCCTGTGACAAAGGCACATGTGTGTTTTATTGCACATCCATTACCTTTCACATTTGAGTTTTACAGCAAAAGAAAAACAAACTTGGAAATGCTGAACTCGAGTTACACGGTTTGCAAAGAGCATAAAACCACAGGGATGGACGGACAGATGGGGGGCGGGCATGTGCCTGTATGCACCAAGTGCCAGGCACCGCAAAACGTGAACGGTGGGGTCCAGGCGGTGGGGTGTGTGGGAGGCTCAAACTCCACCGTTTGAAAAGGTTCCTAACAATCACAGGGAGAATGGCACTTGGGGATCTAGCGAGATGCTAATGCAGCTTTCAAGTATCGTCCACTTGTTTGCACTGGTTTCTTCCAAGGCCTCATGCCTCTTTTTGAATCTGTAACTGATTTTTCCTGAAGCAGGTTCCCAAAACCATAAAGCTTCAAGCCCCAGAAAATCTGGATCTGCCTGTGACATAAAAGGAGTTGAAAGGGCTACCCACCAACGGGGTAATTGATCCCACAGAATGAACACAACTTGGCTATTTAAGAGGGCGCCCCTGGCCAGGTTGCTGAGTTGGTTAGAGCGTCATCCTAATACGCCAAGGTTGCGGGTTCGATCCCCAGTCAGGGCACCTAGGGAAGCAACCAATGAGTGCACGAATAAGTGGGACAACAAAGCAAAGTCTCTCCCTCTCTTCCCCACCCCTCAACTTCCTTTCTCAAAAAACAAAAACGATTGGAGGTTGTCTGCAGGCAGCAGCCTAGAGTTGCTAAGGGCATGGCTGGGGAGCCGGCGTCCTAATTTCAAACCCCAGCTCTGCTGCAGAGCAGCTGTGGGACCCCACGAAGGGCACTCACCTTCTCTGTTTCAGGATCCCCACCCGCAAAGTGGATGCTGTGGCTGCGTCGTGAGGCTTGTCACGGGGGCTGTGGGCGTCTGCACAGGAGAGCGCTCAGAACAAGGCCTGGCGCAGGGCGAGCCCTTGACGAGCGCTACGAAAACAATGTCCAGAAAAAATCCCAAAAATGGCTTAAAAAAAAATCCATGGAAACTTAGGATCTGTGCCAAAGGCCCCTCACAAAGACTTTCTACCTTTTGACCCAGTGATTGCACTCCTGGGAGCGCGCCTGAGGAAATGGCCGGAAGTGCAGGGGGCGTGTCCTGCAGACAGGCAGGTCCAGCCGAGTGCTGTGCAGAATGGAAGGAAACGTGGTAATGGACTTGGGCAGGCCCCGCCGCCCCATGGAGGGAGACCTCTGTGGCCCTGAGCCCAGGGGCGGGGCGCATGTGTAATTACCGGGACCTGTTTGCGTGCTGATGCTGTGTGGGGAAGGCAAACGGATCTGGCCCCACTCACAGCGGGGCCCCATCAACCCGCCCAGGGCCGCCCCCCTCCCCCGGCTCTGGGGCTCTGGGTGTGGGGCAGGGGGCGATTCCAGGGGCTGCTGCATCCTCCTTTTGCCTGGAAAACGGAGGGCTGTGTGTCTCTGGCTGAGCAGAAACATGAAAGATGTCTGGAGAGAGCGGACAAGCACAGTAGCACTAAGCCAACCCAGCAGAGCAGGCCAGTGAGGGGCTGCCTCCCAACTGTGCTGTTTTCATGGCCACACTGTGTCACGACTGAGCTGTTTTGCATTGAGTAAAATTTCCTTTTACACCTTGCCCCAAACTGGGATCCCTGTCAGTGTTGGGTTGGTGCCAACGACCCTCCTTGGCGTTGCTGTCTTCCTCACATCTGCTTTTCTGCCTCTTCGCTTCCTCCCTGTTCTTCCTTTCAGGGGAACACTGGTGGGCTTGGCTGACCGCCACCCGCCCTGGTTCCTGCAGAGGCTGGAGTGGCTGCTGCATTTCCCAGGCACTCTTGCAGCGGGGTTCTGGATGCAGAACGGCCCCTGCACTTAAAGCCCCTCCAGAGACGTGGACAGCAGATAGGACCCACGGTCACATCCAGGATGGAATGTTCTTGAACTCAGCGGTGCCAGTGGTGGTCTCAGAGGCAGCAGGACCGCTGCTCCCCTGGTCCGTGGGTTCTGCAGTCTGTCGTCACTCTGGGCATCGTCCCCGAGGGCCGGGCCCAGAACCCACTGTGCAGCCTCCCAGGGCTGGAAATGCACCTGGTGCCCAGCATCGAGTACTTTACCGTTTAAAACACCGGGAGCGGTTTCTGTGAGGCTTCCATCCCTGCCCTCGGCAATCACGCACTGCTTTCATTTTTTAAATTGTAAGAGCTTTCTGAGGTAAGCATGAAACAAAACCAGTGTGAAAAATTAATGTAGTTTCGGTGTTCATTTGCCAGCAAGAGATGGTGGTTCAGAGAAGGCGAGGGGCTTACCCAGGGCCAGGAGCCAGGGTCCAGCGCGGCTTTCCCTCCATTCCACTTGGAGAGCCTAGCCTTCCAGGAGTGAGGCAGGAGCTCTAGAGACAGCTGAGGATGCCTCCGCCTCTCTGTGCCTTACCTGCCCAGCGTGTTCGGGAGTGTGTGTGTGTGTGTGGGGAAGTGATGATTTAAAATCCTAGACCTGCTTTGGCTGGTGTGGCTCAGGGAACCGAGCACCAGCCTGTGAACCGAAGGGTCGCAAGTTTCGAGTTTTGGTCAGGGCACATTCCTGGGTTGCAGTTGGAGGCGCTCAAGAAGCAACCGGCTGATATGTTTCTCACACATCGATGTTTTTCTCCCTCTCTATCTCCCTCCCTTCCCATCTCTCTAAAAATAATAAAATCTTTAAAAAAATTAGCAGAAGTGAAGTAGGAGAGTGGAAATCATTAAAAAAATAGAATAAAATAAAAGCCTGTGACCCACATTCTGGAGTGACACTCACATAAGTCCCCTGGGTCAGCAACATTACAGATTCCTTTTTTTTTAACTGATAATATGTCGTTTAATTAATTAATACTTGTTCCAATATAGAAAGCTGTCTCTGTCCCAGGTCCTTGTTCTGGTCCTGGTGAGACAGATGCTACTGTGAGCCTCTTTTTACAGCTGAGCAACCCAAAGCACAGACAAGGGGAGTGACTGGTTAAGATGTGAGATTCCGCATTGGCTGGTGTGGCTCAGTGGATGGAGCGCGGGCCTGCAAATCAGAGGGTTGCTGGTTTGATTCCCAGTCAGGGCACACGCCTGGGTTGCAGGCCAGGTCCCCAGTGGGGTGTGTGTGAGAGGCAACCACACATTG